ACTAATAGTATTAGTTACTAAAAACTTCCACAATTCATTATTTCACTATACGTATAAGCAAAATAGGGCAAAAGACACATGCACGAAAAATACCTGGTTTAGTAGATTTATAAAAACTTAGCAACCATAACTGAGCGCGACGCACTATTCCCACGACAAAATGAGACTGTGTTGGTGTGCCCAGCATTCCCAGTAGAAATCTGAAGCATACAACATCGCTGTTGGTGGCATGAGCTTGCTGCTGTGTATACATGCCAGTATAAATGAACCTTCGTTTCCATTCAACACGCGTGGTTTCTCAGAGCGTATGCGTACTTTAATCATACACTTGTACTACTGGATTAATGGAACAGAATTAAAGCATTCTCACAAGATCCCCATATATAAATGCTACTTTTCTGATACATTTTAATATACGGGGACATACAAAAAAATAGCACTTACATATGCAAATGCATGTCGTGTAAAAGCCCGTTTGGGCTGAAAATAGCATCGCACAACACGTCCGTTCACTAAAATTTTTGTACAAGACTGAAAATATTACAAAAATTCCACTTCAAATTTATCAAGAAATGTGCTTAAAACAACGACAACGTACATTCGCTTGCAATTCGCTAGAATTTGAATTTATTCGTGGAAATTCATGACTACGCATGAATTGTTCACACTAATTCACTCATATAGCAAGCATCCCTCAAGAGTGCATACAAGCAATTTCTACTGGGTTGCTTTACATACACACCGCCACCTCTTCTCCATCCCTCTATTCATTCGAGCGTGTGCCTGGGGTGCCGCTAGTGGCCAGAGTATACTAGTGTTGCGGGCAAATTCTTTAGACTTTCCATACACAACGCAAGCGGTTTGATCAACTTCAACATGGCGGCCAGAAAATAAAAAAATTTTGATTTTTATTAAAATTACCTTCAGCGGCTCGTCAAACCCCATACACATTACAAAAAGCTTGTAGCAAAGGGATATTTCGCTCTTAAGCGTAGTTCCCCATTACGTTTTGTCAACGTAAAATTGAATCAGAAAATTTTCAGAAAAATAGCCGAAAACGTACCCTTTTCACAACCGCTTTCGGTACTTTTGTAGACCTAATCCGCGCTTCCTCCACCTTTCTTCCCGTTTTGGGATTAATTTTCGGATGTTTTGCTGCCTGGGCTGTTCTCGTAACAAGCGCAGCAGCTTCGCGCACGTGTATATATTACTTATTCTTTGGAACTTAACAATCACTCTGTCAAAGAGCGAATCAACAAGATTTTAGATGCAGTCTTCTCGTGTTAGTGAGGTACCCATTCACAATGCAAATCGAAGAAGAACGAACTACTTCAGACTTACACCACTAGCGACGAAATTTGTAAAGCTATCGACAAATTTATACAGAACAAGTAATAAAGTCTAAGTTCGAGCGGAGCCGAACATTAAATACCCGGCGCAAGTATTAAATATATGTTTTTCACCTTTCCGAAAGCTAACGCTACATGGTGAGCCGGGGTGTATCAATTTTGAGTAAATTAGCGTCCTTAAATTTCGAAATATTTAAGTTTCAAGCATTTCTGAAATTAACCGTTATATGAAAAGCGGTCGTAATTTTAGTCCGATTTCAATAATTTTCAACGTTTTGCTTTTATGTGGCAAGCACAATAAAAATACCGAGTTTGGTACAAATTGTTATAACGGTTACCAATATACCTATACGTGATCATAAGTGGGCGGTGCCACGCCCGTTTTCCAAAATTTTATCATTAACGTATTTCTTAGTAAAGAATTATTGCAAGCATTAATTTTTTAATAATTAATTAATAATTAGCTTTAATATTTACTGATTTATCGAAGATTTCATATTTCTCTAAATTACCGATTTTCAAAATACTCGGCGATTTCGTATGTTATACCAAGGCCAATAACTGTGCCGAATTTGGAAGAAATTGGTACAGCGGTTACCAAGATATACACATGTGACAATAAGTGGGCGTAGCTACGCCCATTTTCCAAAAATTTATAATATTCTTATTTATCTATGCAAGAATTTATTTAATCGACCTTTAGTTACAGATGTTTTTTCTGGTTTCTTTTCGTGCCTGAGGTCAAGTTTTTATTTTTGTTTTACAAGTGTCCGATATTTCGGCTCTCAACGAAAGCCATCTTCAGGGACTATTAAAAGAAAAAAGAAAAACTTAAAAGCAAAACTAACATAAAGTCAGTCGAAGTCCAGCCACTTGACAGCATAGGATGAAATCATCTACGCAAAAATAATATATATTTTCTTTGGTCTTTTATGCTTTATTTTAGTTTTGCTTTTAAGTTTTTCTTTTTTCTTCTAATAGTCCCTGAAGATGGCTTTCGTTGAGAGCCGAAATATCGGACACTTGTAAAACAAAAATAAAAACTTGACCTCAGGCTCGAAAAGAAACCAGAAAAAACATTCTTATTTATCGTCTAAAACTTATTGTAAATATCAATGTTGAGTGAATAATCTTCAGTAGTTACTAAAATATCGAAGTTTTCGTATTTCTGAAAATTACCTTTATATGGGAGGTAGGCGTGGTTATTGTCCGATTTTACCCATTTTTCAATACCACACGAGTTACCGTGTGCACAGACGGACGGACAGATGGACAGACAGTCGCCGCTTAATCGATTTCTCTTTTCATTCTGATCATTTATGTATACATTTGTCTATATCTATCTCGATTCGTTTTGCCTGTTACAAACAACCGTTATGTGAACAAAGTTATAATACCCTTGTGCGCTCGGGTATAAAACAAGTTTGAAATGGAGCAAGTGTGCGGATATTTGCGGTGGTTGGAAAAACGAAAGCAGTGATGTCTAGGATGAAGCAAGAGTCAGAAAACGCTACGAGAAGTCACTGTATGATCTCGGTATTCCCTGGCGACTTGAAAAATGCCGCCACTAGATATAAAACCCGTATTGGATGACGCTGCGAAGATAACAGAGGCCTGCGAAATTAAAATAAACTTCTGGTTTTTTCTAGCACGTCGTGATTTTTTTCTTGGTGACATGTATATTTTAGAATTTCTAGGAATTTGCATGAAAACCCCATAAATAAACAAAGTTATCAGAAAGCCGTATGTAACTTCTAAGTTAATGCTAAGAAAATTGATAACAGCCGGTTTCACTAGCAATTTCCATATAACATTCAAAAAATTCAAATCATTTACCACTTAAATTGCTTGGAAGGTTTAGAAAAAACCATTGTCGAATATTTTCCCAACATTGACTTTGAGGATGTCTACAGCCGGATAACAAACCCGTGTTCCATGTGACCCGAAAAGTAAACCTACTGGGATGACAAATTAAGCTTTTGAAAACCTTCTGGATATCAGTTACGACAGCACTTTGAATATTAAATTCTACGAAGGGAACCAAGAGAGTTCTGGATGCAAGTGTATGAAGAAAATACTACTGATGGCAAGATTTCATTACAAAATACTAGTGACTTTTAGGCCCTTATTATGGGTTCCATTCGATTTTCGATCTTCGCTGGTTATCGAAGATCGAACATCGATATTGAAATTATGAGCTCTGCAACCGTGTCGAAATTTTCGTTGAGTATCGAATTATCTGTCGAACAGAATTTTGATTTCGACGGTGTAGCGAAGTGTTAGAAAATTGTGAAAAATGTATGATTTTGTATTTAGTTTTCACTGGCGGCTAGACACTAATTTTAAACAATTTTTATTAATTTCATGCAGTTCTAACGTCGTCAATATTAAACACAAGCTCGAAAAACTGGCTTTACTTGTGAAAGAAAATCCCAACACTCAGTTGGCACGATCTCTGAGAACAAAATTTTAAGCTGTTGATATTTTAAATAGATTTAGCTCACAAACGCCTCTTTAGATAGTCGGAAGTTTTTAATAAATCTGTAGACAATTTTCTTAAATATTTTATATTTTTTATGTCAAAATATATTCGAAAGACTACATTTAAACACTCTTAAACATTTTCTACTCCTGGTCTGTTTACCAAGCTCTCACCTTCTGACGAATCGTTGAACCAGAACTCCGTTGTACTAATTTTTTCCACGTTTTTATAAACTCGATTTCCTTTTTTTTCATTTTAATTTGCACAAATTTACATATTTATGTATAAGCACACTATTTAGTTTGCTCGGTTTGTAAACAAAACTTCTCAGCGGTGGAAAATATACTATTGTAAACAACCTAACCGAGCGAAATTCACAATAACGCTATTCTTCATCGAATGAGCGTCATAATACTATATGAAAATTCGTTCGATCAGCACTTTCGACCACAGTCGAATGCAACTCATAATAGGGGTCTTACTTTTCATTTCTATGTGAGACTGCATTTTCAACAAATGCTTACATAAACAAGTAATTTTTAAGCAAAAAAAAATGCACAAAACAAAACCGATTACAATTCCCATCTAAGAATTTAAGATTATCCAAAAGAAATTAAAATTATGTATTCATGATCCAATGATCGGATTTAAACCAAATTAGACAACCTGTCAGGTAACACCTTTCCTTAAAAAAAAAATTATAGTAATCGGTTACCGTGGTCCAAAGTTATGCGGTAACATACATAGAAAAAATATATATTTCGACGAATTGATAACCTTCTTCTTTTTGTGAAGTCGGTTAAAAACAAATACTCCAGCAAGCTTTCAGCGTCAAACGATTTCAGGGTAAAATTGTCAAAGCTCCCAATAGACTTAAAGAAAATAATGAAATCATTAAAAACCGTTTCAGTCCTCACATTAAAGCTAAAGGAGTATAAAGTTGCGTTGTGTTTTCTTGTTTTCTTGTGCTCTAGCCAAACGAAACGTGTCCTGTTTTATTCAGCTTCTGACCTGACTACCCTGACTCCACAACGCCCATAGCCTATTGCACACCTTTAATTTCGCCTCTAATCCACTACTTATATTGTGGTGTTCGGAGCAATATATGTATGTAGCAGCATTTTCTTTGCTATGATGCAGGCTAAAATTTTGCTATTTTCTTTACTTACCCATTCTACAGGATCGATAATAAAAAGCCCACGCTCATTGACTGCTGTAAGTACTTCAACATCCTTATGGCTTACCAAACTCATAAGACCGCGAACAGGCTGCTCTACTTGGCCATAAAAGAATGCCGCTCTACAGAACACATTTATATGTACATTATATTATAATGATTTTAAAATATTTACCCATAAAACGGAAGTGCCCAACAAAATTCTAAATATTTGCGTATGAGTTTTTTCGTCGTCGCTGTCTGAGGAACGCGTTTGAATTGTTCAAGCAATTTAACTTCAGCTGAGTTTTTTCGACTAACGGGCAGCCATGACCAATTCGTACTTTTTGCAACATGATGTGGTAGGAATCTTAATTGGTTTTCCCTAAAATTACCTTTATTATTAAACAATTTAAATAACTGTAATTTGAAATAACTCTACCTTAAAAAACTAACAGTGTGCGTATGTGGGTTATACGGACCTAACTCGATTCGTGCTTGTATGCCACCAAGCATTAAAGCATGAACTGGCTCCATAACGTATCGGCCAGATAACACGTTATATTTGGCTTCTTCATACAATAACTCTAAAATGCGGTGATCCCTGGGAAGAATTTATATACTCTTGAATGCTATACTATATATCTGTGTTCGTATGTAATAGTAGCTTATGTCGAAAAGCTGGCTTTAGTATAATGCAGCATTCGCAGTATACGATTGCGAATGACTCAATGGCACCAAGCCGTTGAAGAACTTTTGGCAAATTAACGCGCAAGAAATAGATCCGATACTAGCAAGTCAATATTCTTATTAAGTCTCGTCAAAAAATTCTTTGTCATTTAAAGATTAAAGGGAATGCCGCATTATACTAAAGCCAGCTTCCCGACATAAGCTACTATTCCATACGAACACAGATATGTACATATGCATGTAATTAGATTTTAAAAACATAAATACATACTTGATTTTTTCCTCATCACGTTTTGAAAAAAAAACGTTTCGTTTAAGCATAATCATAGGTTCGTCAAACTTTTTTTCGATTGGATTACCATGGCTAAATTTATCCAGTAGAGACTGCCATGTTATTCTTACCAGATAAGGCCGATGATGAGATTTTAACTGAATATCCAAAAGTCCGCTAGTTAGCCATAATCCAAATATACTTTGGGCTAGTAATTTGTTCGCAATTCCCAACTCTTCACATCCCAAGGCAGCGGCAAGCATTACTTGTGCGGGGCAATGAGCAGTCCCTTCAATCTCCATATGGACAGCAATTCTAGTCATTAAATAAACGCACGTTGGTATCACCTGAAATAATAAAACTTGCAGGGTAATTCGCTCTTTTGTGTACTCGTTTATAGTGTGCAAATGTAACTGAATGAGCGTTTAATTTGTTGTTGATAATGGTACAATAAAAACAATTGAAACAACAATCACATGCCCATCCAGTTACACTTACAAAAGAAACACCGAATGTACAAGAGAATGAATGTCTATAGCATTTTTACCCCTTAATATTTATGTAAATTTTAACTACCCTGCGGAAAATTTGACTAGCTCAGAACTAGACCTTTTGCCGACAGTACTAGTTCTAGCTCAATACCCAAGCAATGCTTCCAGTTTTGCACGGCGCTGTCATTGGTGGTGGCAATTGTCGGCCAGTGCATTACTTTTCAACTAGTTTTTAACCGGTTTCGTTTTGGATAGTTTTTTTTTTTATAAGAAACCGTTTTTAATTTAGGTTCATTAAATTTGAAAACTCACAACTGCCTCCACCGTGATTTGAACTCGCGAGCAACGATGCTTCGAGTCGGAGGTGTTCTCGCTTAGCTGCTTTCGTATTGTACGAGTAGTGAGCATTTGCACATTTACACCGCAAGTTTCAACTGTCCCGCTCTGCATCCGTTTTCCACTAGTTCAGAGATAGTTCTGATATATGTAGTTCGGAACTAGCGCTTTGTTAGACTGTCTCTAAATTAATTTATTTATTTATTTAGTCTATGGTTTTATAATAACATTACAGACTAGAAGAGTACAACATTAATTTAGAACTATTACAAATAATTCATAAAGCTAGAAATAGGAATTCAAAAGGTTTAAAAAAGCTGTCTTTGGGATTGAAAAGTCTACCTCGACTACATTATTCATGGCATTATCGGGGCATTACTGGCGTATTCAGTTCTAATATTACAACCATAAAACGGAAGGAAATTTCTAAGGGATCGCCTGGGGACATTAAATCTTATCCTCTCTAACAAAAACGGACAATCAACAATACCATTAATAATATTATATGTAACCGAAAGGCACAAGACGGGCCTGCGACTTTCTAGGGACTTGAGATTCAAAAGCATGAGACTTGAAGAATATGATGGCACGGGGTATGAAAAGTTCAAACAGCGAAGGGCAAACTTGAGAAAAATTTTTTGAACACGTTCAACCCTGTTTATAGCATTCTGATTATACGGCCTCCAAATAAAAACCGCATATTCGAGATGTGAACGAACAAATGACGAATACAGTAACTTGAATGTATGAGGATCCGAGAATTTTGAGGCATTGCGTCTTACAAAGCCTAGAACAGAATGCGCTTTTGCAGTTACATAGCTAATGTGTTTATTGAAAGAAAATCGATCGTCAAACACTACGCCAAGGTCTTTTATCTCATTTGCATAATTTAGATCATTAGCCGATATATGATAGCTGGTAAGCAGAGAATTGGAAATTTTAGAGTACGTTAGTTGAAAACACTTACTAATGTTCAAGGAAAGGCGTGACTTCAGACACCACAAATAAAGCTTATCAATATAATCTTGAAGCCTAATTGCATCAGATGTGTTTTTAATTACATTGAAAACTTTTAAATCGTCCGCATAAAGCAGACATTTTGCAAAAGAAAAACAACTACTAATGTCATTGATGAAAAGTATAAAAAGAAGTGGACCTAAGACACTACCCTGTGGCACTCCAGAAGATGGAACGAACGGGCTAGAAGTAGACCCGTCAATTGAGACAACACACCGTCTGTTACACAAGTACAACTCCAACCAACGCAGAAAAATAGAATGAAAGCCAATGCGAGCACGCTTTTGAATTAATATACTATGTGACACTCTGTAAAACACTTTTGAGAAGTCTGTATAAATACAGTCAACTTGAAAACCTAACGAAAAAGACTCGAAACAATATTCACTGAAAACAGCGAGGTTGGAAACAGTAGATCTACCAGCGACAAACCCATGCTGATATGGGGAAATAATAAATTTAACTGCAAAATTCAATTTGGCATTGACTGTGTGCTCAAAGGTTTTCGAAATAGCGGAAAGCTTGGAAATAGGTCTATAATTACGCACGTCAATTCTGTTACCATTTTTATAAACGGGCATTACCGTCGTAAGCTTCCAATCATCAATAAAAGTACCTGAAGATAATGATTTGTTAAAAATTAACTTCAAGAGATAAACTAATGCTGGACAATTTTTGATTAAAGTTGCAGATAGGCCATCAACATTTACATGTGTAGAGGATCTTAGTTTAATTATACCATTACTTATGTCTGCAGATGAGAGACTTAATGAGCCAAAGTTGAGAGACAAGGAGATATTAGCAGAAAATTCTGCAGATGTAAAGTCATTCTGAACAAAATTCGACCCAAAATATTCAGCTAACAAATTTGCCGCATCACTTTGCGTCTCCGCAGCTTTATCACCAAGAAATATTCCTGTGGGTAAGCTGCAGCATCCTTTCTTTAATTTCAGGTAGTTCCAGAACAATTTGGGGTCAGATTTAATATTCACCTCAGTGTCACGAACATAGTTACTACCCTGTAGGGAAAACACGAACTAGTGAAACAAATTTCTAGTTCAGTACTAGTTCTTTTTCGCCAAAAACGATCCAGTCCGATAGTAACTAGTCAAGCACTAGACCAAAAGCAATGAAATGTGGTACTTTCACTAAACTATTTTATTTCAATATAACGATGAGTTAATGATCAGTTTCAAAATTATGTTTTTATTGTTGGTTTTTACTAGGCTATTTTGATCAATTTGGCTTATGTGCAAGAAAAAACTTTCTTCACTTTGCTGCCCGACGTTTCGCCAAACTCCTTGGCAT